AGACTTTTTAATAGTATCGGCGATGAAAAATTGATAGGTCGGGTTAAGTCTTTGCACGCATCAAATATTTCAAATCTTAGTGTGGATGATATTGATTATGTAATAGCTAAAGTTTTAAAAGCATCATTTAATAACGATAACAATAACGATAACGTTAGCGTTAGTTCAGAATAATTTACTGCGCCACTGTGACAACCGTTGTCACAGCTAATTGAACGATAACGACAACGATAAAATTGATAATTTACTGCGCCACTGTGACAACCGTTGTCACAGCTGATTGTATGGCAAAATAACAATAACGAAAAATTTACTGTAATAGGAAATAATTTACTTGGTTGTAGTGGTATGTAGCGCGTACGTACAGTAGAAATTTCTATATATGTATACAAATTACATCGGTATCGTTGAATTTGATTGGAATTCTTAATTAAATCAATCACACATGATTTCTTTGTCTATATAAAAGATTTAACGTTAACGTTAAATGTTATACTGTATACCCATATTGTTATATAAAGTACTTCTTATATAATACTCAGATACTAGAGTTGGTCACCAAAACCTTTTCGAAAGTTTCGGGTTTCGGATTAGGAACCGTACCCAAACTGTCACGTGAATTCGAGTCTTTACGTGGACTGGAACCGAACAGAAAGCCATTTTTCGGGATCATCATCCTGTGATATAACTTAGTAAAAAATTTATTGTTTAACCGAAGTTCTAATGTACTGTATTATATAATCATAAATATTATTAATTTGTAGTTGTCTAAAATTTGGATGATAAACCTTTAATTATATAAGATACGGTATAAACAAATTACAAAAAAAAAAAATTATATTATTCATAAAATGTATAAACCAACTAATATTACGTATCTACTGTAATCATGAATTAACTGCATCCTCTTTTTGATTTGTTGACTATTTTGTTTATTTTTTCTGCTTCTAGATCGTCTAATTTATTTTGAATTTCTTTTCAAACCTTTTTCTTAGTTCTTTTTCCTTTTTCGTAAATCATTTATTGTATCTATTAACTGGTCACGATCTTCAATTATCTTGTTGATCTTATTCTCCAATTGTTTTTTTCTATTTTCAGCTTCCTCGTTTTTGTTTTTTAACAAATTTAATTCTGTTACAAGTTCTTTACGTTCTGCTTTAAATTTTATTTCTATTTCTGAGTTCTGCTTCAAGGTCTTTGATTGTGTTTTCGAGGTCTTTGATTGTTTTTTTGAATCCTGTCTCTTGTGATATGTTCTTTTCTTTTAAATTGGTATTTTCCTTTTCCAAGACTGTATATTTTGCTTTTAAATTGATTGCTTAATTCAGATTTTACCGCGTAGTTTTCTATTTTCAACGCATTATTTTCTGTTTCAAAAAGTTTCGCATTTTTCCAGAGATTGTACTATAAAATTAGATTTTTATTAGGAAAGTATTGTTTTCTTTGTGAGTGAAAAATTGGATGCTTACTTTTTCGAAAATCAAGTTGTTAGTTACTTCGATTAGATTGCTAATAGTAGCGTTATTTGTCTAAAATAAATATTTGTTATTAGCATCAAATATAAATACGTATTATGTGTGACAAATACCTTTTGATGATACCAAAAAAGAGCTAAAATTGAAAATGCGATGATTGCAGTTAAAATTTTTTTTAATTTCTTATATTTTTGGCCATTATTACGTGGACAGATGTAAACAATTTGCGATTGATCATTAGAACATGTTTTTGATTGCAAAGAATTGGTAGCCGCAGGTTTTAGACATCTTGTGTTTGAACTTTAAGAACTTTGTTATTAATTAACTGTTCATCATCATTGCTATTAATTAACTGTTCATCATCATTTAATGAACTGGATTGTTGTAAAATATGTTCGTCAGTTGTGTAGGGTTCCGAGTCAGAATCTGACAATGAAGAATCACTATCAACTTCGATAGTAATTTGACAAGCGCTATGGTCGGGGTTATAGTTGTTAGGCGAAACCCAAAAAAGGAAATTATAACAATGAACTTCATTGTTATAATTTCCTTTTTTGGGTTTCGCCTAACAACTATAGTCGGGGTTTATTATCTTTTTGAATTGTTAATAAAGATATATACTTATTACACAATATAAAAAATTTACTAGAAATGACAAAAAGCAATTGATTTTATACTTTTAGTATAAATTTTCGCAGCCGTAAAAAATTCGTTTGTAAAATGATTTTCATCTTTAATAATCCTTAATTGTTCATGAAGATTCAATTGATTAGAAAAGGAGACACCTTGTTGTAAAGAACCTGAAAATTTTTGTCTATAATTGTCATAATCAGTTCTAGATAAAGTAACATTTGGAATTTCGTTTCTTCTAATGCGAGACATTATTATATTTGTAGATAGAGAGATTATAGTTAATTTGACCAGATTTAGCGATAAATTTCTCAACGTTAAAAGAGCAATTGTCTTTAGACGCATTTCTCGAGATGCCCATGTTATAAAAAAAATATAAATTTTCAAAATAACAACAGAAAATTATAAATATTTATGTATAAGGAGAGAATTTCTATTTTGCACTATAAGATACCAGTATACACGGGTATATTGATATCTCAAAATCCGAATTATAAAACCCACTTTGGGGTCAAATCAATTAATACCCACGTACGTATAGGCAAAGATAAGGATAATCACTAAAATGAGAAAAAGAGGTACGACGCGACGAAAATGAATTATATGCATTGCAAACGTGCCGATACAGAATTACACTTTTAAAGTTGTCCAAATGTATATACTTTATACTGATATTATAGTGATAAGAAACTTGTTTTAACAAGTTAACAATAAAAACGGAAAAATTTCTGAATTAAATATATTGCATATTCTAAACTAGTTCGCTCATACAGTATATATATATGTTGTATAGATGTATTAACGTTAAATAGATATATTATTAATAAATATATTATTAATAGCATAGCATATATACACGGTGAGTATTAAATTTCCAGTTATCAGTTATAATATTCTATATATATGGTACTGTATACAAAGTTGCACATTATTTATTTCCTTTTTACTTTTTTTACTTTTTTTACTTTACCTAACAAATAGATGTTCGCTTATTTATCTTTTAAAAATGGATCAAATTTGATATAAGGGACTATTATAAATCAATTGAATTTAAATCTTGGTCGGGTCTTCTGTTATTTGATATTATATATATATGTTGTATAAACAATTAAATAGACTATGTATTGATAATACCATTTATCATGCATCTCTTTTATTAATTAATTACTATCACAAATATATAATGTGTGCTATACGAAAACAAGTATATAATTTTACATTTATATTGGCACTGTCCCTTTATAAGAATGACTCCCGAATCCACGCCTTCCAATCATAATTTCAGCAATAAATTCATATACTAAACAAAATATGTGACATGGCACTGATTTGTTGACTCCAAAGGTTCCATGTACGACTGGCTCATAAAACTCAGGAAGGAATAATTTTCTAGAAGTCCTGTCAATTAAAATTGGCTCAGAAATTGTCCACCCAAATTACAAGAATTTGTATAACTTACCAAATGATTAAAACGGTTATAAATATAAGAAAACACGCGAATCTCATTTATTCTTTCCTTTAATTAAAAATGTTAAAATTAAAATTAAAATAAATTCAAATTAATACATGTGATAAGTTACTTCGTCGCTATTTGGCTATTTTACTGCCAGTCTTTGACCAGACTTTAAAAATTGTCGTATTTGGTTTTGTGAGTGTTAAAAAGGTCCAAATTTTCTATTCAGGCTTTATATTGTAAGATAAGAAATCCTACTTTTATATACGATTTATAACAGCATAATTATTAATGTATCCGGTTTATTATAAACTTGTTAAACCATTTTCTTTATCATTAACAAGTTTAAACAGGGCACAAAGCTTTTCTTGCACGTACGTACCTTAAATTTATACGGAATTAACTCTTGACTAAATATTTATTTGATATACATACTGTATGTAAGTACGTATGTAAGTATACAGTACGTACCAATTTTACAGATAAACAATCTGCAAATATAAATATTGACCTATATTTTTTTCATCACGAGAAATAAAATTTTCATTTTACTCAAAGTCGAATAAACCAAATTAACACCATTTCGATGTATTCCTTATTTTCCTTTTCAACAGGTCCTTATTTTCCTTTCTATATGTTTCTTTTATTTCTTTCTCTTTTTGTTATACGACATTTTCTCTATACTTTAATTTCTTTTCTTTTTTCTATAAGAACAACCACGAATCGTTTTGACGTTCAATCAAACGACGAAATCCTCAATGAAGAAATCTTCAATAAAGTATTTAAACTTCAAGACATCCGCGATGAAGTATTTAAACACCTAAAAAATAATCACAAAAGCTTATTTTCATGTGCTCTAGTAAACCGTCATTGGTGCAGAGTTATTATACCAATATTGTGGACTGAACCAGATTTTAAAAATAAAAGACTAATAACGACATTACTTCTAATGTTAAATGCAAAAGAGCAGGCTCTCTTAATTCCGTTTAAAATTAACCTTCCAAATCACCCAAAGCCGCTATTTGAATATTCAAGTTATATTAAATCTATTGACTATGATGCTTTTTATGATAGCATTCGTAATTTTATCAAATTAGAATTATCAGAAGAATGTGAAGATGCCGTTAAAACTTCTTTAGTTGCAATGTTACTTCGAATTAACAAGAATCTTGACTACTTATTTCTTGATCAAATTATTTGTAATCAAATAATATTTGAAACTCTTTATAAGAACACTACGGTTACATCTTAACGTTTATTGCTTTTATGCTGCAATTATCCTGATCCTTACACAATACTAGCAAAAATTCTTGATAAGAACTATATTTTGACTTCTTTAAATCTTAGAAATAACAATATTGGACCAGAAGGAGGAAGAGTATTAGCAGATTCACTTTACAAAAACACCACTTTGATTTCTTTAAATCTTAGTCGTTGTAAACTTGGTTCTGAGGGTGGAAAAGCGGTAGCAAATGTTCTTCAAAGGAACTCCACGTTGACTTCTTTGGATCTTAGTTTTAATGAGCTTGGATCTGAAGGAAGAAATGCATTGGCAGATGCACTTTGTAAAAACACGTTGCTAAAAGATTTAGTTCTTACTAGGATTGCTACTAACTCAGATAATGGAATTGCTTTAGCAATTGCTTTAGCAGCTGCATTTTGCAAGAACTCAATGCTAACTTCTTTGAGTATTGGAATGAATAATCTTGGACCAGAAGGAGGAAAAGCGTTGGCAGATGCACTTTGTAAAAACACATCACTGAAAGGTTTATATCTTATTGGAAATGATCTTAAATCAGGTGTAAAAACGTTGGCGAACGCACTTTTCAAGAACTTCACGCTAACTTCTTTGAGTATTGGTTACAATGAACTTGAATTTGAAGAAATAAACGCGCTAGCAGATGCACTTGGCATGAACACTACGCTTAAAAAATTAGATCTTACTAACTGTGCTACTAATTCAGATGATGGGATTGCTTTAGCAGTTGCTTTAACAGCTGCACTTTGCAAGAACTCCACGCTGACTTTTCTGAATATTGGGCAGAACTTTATTGGGCCAACAGGAGTAGAAGCATTAGCAGGCGCACTTTGCAAGAATACTACTCTAACCTATTTGAATCTTAGTAAAAATTTTATTGGACCAGAAGGAGGAATAGCGTTAGCGGGCGCGCTTTGCAAGAATACCACTCTAACTTCTTTTGTATATTAGAGACAAAAGTATTGGACCAGAAGGAGGCTTTAACGAATGAACTTTGCAAAAACACCAGACTTACCTTACTTCTAGAAGATGCATTTTAAAAAATACTACTTTTTTTAAATTTTTATCTACTTCAGTCAGCAATATTCCATTCAGATTTCCAGTATTAATATTGTAAAGATTATTAATAAAGTTTTTGAGATAATAGTTTGGGCTTGAGTTTGGGATTTGGGCGCGGACTATAATAGTTTGGGATTTGTATAGTCACGTCTAGTGATGGGCAATGTGCATGAAATTATAGAATCATGCGCATGATTTTTATATATACTTACTAGTGCGATAGGTGGCGCTTCGCGCCACCTATCTTATTCAGTAATTTAATATCAAATACTTAAATTAGGTAAATTTTGTTTTCTTCTTTTTTGGTTCT